CCGACCGACCGACCGACCGACCGACCGACCGACCGACCGACCGACCGACCGACCGACCGACCGACCGACCGACCGACCGACCGACCGACCGACCGACCGACCGACCGACCGACCGAATTATTTTAGAATGCATTGCAACAGCAAAATATAAGCACATAGTTAAAATAAAATTGTTACTCAAAATATATTTTACTGACTAAACAACAGATATTGTGTATTTTTTAGAAAACGTACTTTACAAATGAAAACTAATTTAGAAATATTCTGTACTCACATTTATACGATCTGTCAATTTTATCCAAATTTGATACTTTTTGCAGACTGGTCACAAAACACTTCTGTAAGTTAATAATTGCTAACCAGAAAACATTAAGAAGAAAGAGATAAAATCTTAAAATAGGAACTCACAATTTTACTGTTAATCGGTAAGCGTTCGAGAAGTTCGAGAGGGTATGTTTATAAACTACATATTTGGCGGATAAAAAAAGAGGAAATCGCGCCGGTTTGCGGCCAACCAATCGGCGCCGACCAGCGCGTTGCAACTTGTTTATAGTTTCTGCTTACTCACTGAAAATTTTTCTTAATTTCGGCCGAAACCAAAATTAAGTCGAAGCCTTGATTTTTGGCCGAAACTGGCTGTAACCGAAACCGAAACCGAAATTTCGTTCGGATTCTACTTGCAATGTTTGTTCGACATTTAATTTCCCGTTGTTATGATAAATTTTTCTATATAATATCGCGGAAAAAAGTGGAGTGCGTAGGACGTAACAATGTATATTTTTCAAATATTTTTTTTTTTGGTTCATATTTATTTGATACCTTGTATATGCTTATTTCGTCTCGTGCATTATATTTCAGCTTTACGATAGAATTCAATCGAGGAAAGAACGCGAGTGTTTGTTTACCATCCTATACATATGCGCAAACCACACGTCAGTGTAGTGAGCTACCAGTACAAACAACTATCAAGAGACACGGTAGTGTCTCGCGCCAAGTTCACGCGCAGCGCAAGACCGAACGTGTATCTTTACGCAAGTCCAAAGAGCCTAGAGAGCCGAGATTATCGGAACTCAATAATGCCTGGGCCGATCGAGTTGATAATAGTCTCAATCGATAGCGCATACCCAAAATATATAATAAAAGTATACTTGTTTTTGCTCTACGTGCTCCATAAACATATCAAAGTCCAAAGTCGAAATGTCAAAAAATATATTAATTTTCTAGGATGTACAGTTATCATTTTTTACACTAGATGGCTATTGACATGTTAGTAGTTAGGTTTGTGTTGGTGGCGCTATAGGAGATAGCCGCGCTTACCAAATAACCTTACAGAAGATGTATCAAAAGAATAATATTGAATTCGGCCACTCGCACTACATTGCACTGGTACAAACTCAAGGCTGCTTAATGTTCATCAGTTTTTTATTCGTGTTCATCAGAGTAGTGTAGTGCAGTGTAGTGTGAGTGATCAAATTCGTTATAAATGTAGTATAAATTAAGTGAAATAAGTGTATATGTATATACAGCGTGGGCCATTTTAATATATGCACCCAAATTTCTCCGTAAGTAAGCCAAATACAGAAAAATGGTTCAGACAAAAGTTGTTCAGGACAATGGGGGTCACCTATTTGCGCTAGTGACTTTGACCTTGAAGTCAATTTTCAAAGTCATTTGAGGTCAGAGTTATTTTTTTAAATGGAAATCCCTATTTTTGATTCCAAAATCTAATAGCTGGTGTCAAGAGCTTTTCAAAACACTATAATAAAGTTATTTTTTATTAAGTACTTTTTGAGTTATGAAGCTTGTAAATTACAGTATTTTGACATAAAATACAAAATATCTTGTCAAACATTCAATTTTTGGGAATCTTACCTTAATATGCATAAAATAATGAGACAAATCAATTTTTGTTTTTAATTTATGTCAATTTCTATAAAATATTCGTTATAATGATTTCACTTTGGTAAACCACATATTCTAAGTGTAATAAAAATTTATGTATAATATACTGATATTCGAACTCGTGATGGGCAACAAATTGTCAGTGCTTTCATGTATAGTGTGTTATAGGTGATATTAACAGATCCACGTCTGAAGATATTTTTATTATTGTATAATTGTGTTGTTATTGTACAATGTGCGCAAATTTGAAGCAACCTAATTGGTCAATTTTAAATACTTCTCATCGAAAACTATTATATTATAACCTTGACATGGTATTAGGATTTTTATCTTGAAATGATATCAGAAATGTACAATTTCAGTACAGTGCGTTCGGTTTGGAACACCTCGCATATTACATGATATTTATGACAAAAAATCAATATAATTTTGTTGTTCACAATTATTATTTATGACATTTAACTGTTAATAAATGCACATATCTCTTATAATAAAATTTTATTATGAAATAAATGAATTAATTAAACAATAATAATGATTCTGTCTTTTAAAGAAAAAAATAATTAAAATTTATTGAATTTCAGTGGCATGCACATGATAGTCTTATTCTGACTGCTTGTTGGAGTCAAAGAAATGAACTTATAGTTTCTGGTGGTGAAGATTGTAGATATAAGGTACGTAATTTTTAAATTATTAAAAAAATATATTTCTTTAGAAATAGATAAAATAAATAAAATAGAAATAGATAAAAAACGCCAAGAGTATGCGCTTATTGGAAAAATTGTAATACATGAATGTGCATGCGTTCGTCCGTGCGTGCGCACGGCGTGCGTGTGTGCGCGTTATATTTAACAATTATCGGCACAAGCGCCTGTTACGCTTGGACTGATGTTTGGTTCAAACAGTGACGATGCGCGAAATGAATCGTTACATCATGATTGTAAAAGACTTGAAAATATTTTTTTATTTCATTGTTATTAAATTGTAAAATTTTTCAAAATTATTACAAAAAAATTTTTTTTTAATTTTTTATCATAATGTTAAAGATCATTAAATACCATAATATTTTTTATTAAACATTTTTTCAATATTTCTTATAGTTTCAAAGATATTAACAAAAATACGAAAAATTATATTTTCTTTGAAGAGTGTTTCCACCCTTAGAATCGTTTTTTAGTCAAAACAGAAAACAGCTTTTTGATTAGGTTTATATGTATATGTACTATATTTCTGCAAAGTTTCAGATTTTTTAGAATTTTTTGGTAGTAAGTCGAATTGATTATTATCTGTTTTTCATTTAAATTTTTTTTTAAATTTTGTGTTGCATGTAAATTTATAATTTTTGACATATTTTATGTATTTGGCGTATTTTTTAAATCTATAGTTAAGATTATTAGTTAAGATTATTATATTGATTTAAGCTGCATTCAAAAACTAACCCTTTATATGTAATTTACACTTTATTTTACCAAAAAGTTAATGTAAAGTTAATATAAACTTGTTATGGATTTTAATATAGATATGGGATGTCAACGGTAATCAGCTATATAATAGCACTATTGGTGATCATCCTGTGACCGCAATTAGCTGGTGTCATTCTTCCGGTGATTGTTTTGTTGTTGGATCCTTCAATACTATCAAACTCTGTGACAAAAATGGGGTAAGTTAATTAAATGATTTTATTAATGTGTATAATAATTAAAATTAAAAAATGTTTGGTTAAATAGAATTTTAAAGGCTGAGATGTCATTTTAATTTCCTTTTTATAAAAGTATGTAGCAAATTTATAAAACCGAAGACAAGTAAAGTTTGATCGAAATTGTGAAAAACATGTCATTCAAAGAAATTAAAACGAGAACAATTATACAATGCGCTAGAGATACGCGATGTCATCACAGTTTTCAGCGATAGACGTAGTAAGTATAGATTACTCATGTCATTCGAAGAGTCGAGAATTTAGAAAGAGAAAAGAAGCTTTGAACCAAATTGTTTTCTCTCTCACATATAAGAAGAAAGGTGGTAATAAAGAAAGGTGGTAATAGAGAAAGGTAATAAGGGTAAAAAAGTGGAATAAATAACATGTGTATGGATAGCAGCTATGCTCCCTACTCATGTCTACATATTACCCCTCCTAACCGAGTTGAAAAGAGATAGCAATTCTGTTGTAACA